GCAGTCCAATTACAGCCGCTCGCAACAAAGGGGGAGGGGAGGGCGGCGCTCGGGCAACCCTGGCAGGCAGAGATCCCTTCCAGGCCGGGCCTTGAGCAACGCTCCACGCCGCCACCCGGCTCCTTCTCGACGGCTTGGTCTACGGCATCGCGGAGATCCTCTTGGATCCCCCGGATCCTTATAAGCCTAAAGCGAGGGGACCCGTTGGCCTGACGGGCCCTGTACAGTATTGTCGTGCAAGGACACACGCCCACAGAGGCTTTGTGTAGAACCAGGGAGCTTGCCGGAGATTTTTGGAGGAAATCACCACCTCTAGGCTGAAGCCGGGGTGTAGCTGGAGATGGGGGGGTGGGGGTCCCATCTTCAGACTGCATCTGTGGGTCCGTCTCCACCAGCCCGAGATTTGAAGTTGATTCGCTCAACCGAGGTCGTAGAGCAAGTGGCTATTGTGTTGAGCATGGCTTTTAATTCCTTGTTTCCTGGGCAAAACCTACCGCGTCCCTTGGGTGCCTGTTCGGGATCGCCACGTCAGCTGGGAGATGTCAATAAATCGGAAGGGTGGGTGCCAAATGAACCACAGTCCGATTCGAGCCATGTCCCTTTTGAGAGCGGATGCCACCGCGTCCGCCCTGAGCTTCGTCCCAGGGAGGTCCTTATCCTCGGATTGCATATTGAATGCTCCTCTCTACGTTAGGGACTTACTTCGTGAGACCCTACAGCAACCTGGTGTCCGCAGGGCTCTCTCCGATCCTAAATCTATTTGTTATATTGATGCCCACAGACGAATACCCTGGGCTGCAGTCAAGGCACGCCGGTGCATTAGCCCTGGGCAGCTTTGCCCGGGGAAGAAAAAACAAAAACAAAACATTCTTGCAGATCCTCTTGCAAGGCAGGGCTTAAAGAAAACAGTTTTGGCGGATCCCATGGATCCAGTGTGTTGAGAACGGATCGCAGCTCAGAATGACGACCGCGAGGTCTAACAGGCACTTTGGGCGGAGGCGGGTGGGGGAAAAGCTGTGACTGAGATTTGAACCTCTGGCGAGAAAGGGTCTCTACCGCAGGGCAGAACCGAAGCCATCCAGGACGGACACTCAGGGAGTTGGCCGGAGGTTTGGGAGAAATAATCCCACGCACTTTGGAAAGGGGCGAGGATCAAATCCCTCTCTCCGGGCCTATTTTGAATGTCTACACCGCACGCCGCCATAACTGGGCAAGCGGTGAGTTTTGCTTTTCCTCCTCTAGGATTTAAATCGATGGAAACCGGAGCCTGTTTGGTGCGGGAATATCGTGACTTTTTCGTGTTTCCTTCCGGGGGGGGGAATAGGTGAAGGACCCCTTTGAACAGCCGCCTTCCCTCCAGCCTATGAACTCTGCACCCCTCCCCTTCTTCTGAGGGCAGATTTCAAGCAAGCTGGATTGTCGGTTCTTTCCTTCCCCTTGCTCGTGGCGACTAAGAGAAAAGGAGACTCGCCCGGGTCTTTGGCGCGGAATGGGGGGGGGCGGGGGCGGGAGAAGAAGCGGGCGCAGCATTCCCTCTTTCTCTTGGCTGCGCTTCTATTTAATGTCAAAACGGTAACGCATCCGTCCTGAAGTGCTGAAATATTCATAGAGAATCCAACGATTCTCTCTCTCTCTCCATACCGGCAACTGAAGCTTCAAGTTAAAACGGTAGTTTAAAACATCAAATGTTCCATGTGGTGAATCAATTGCTTCGCACACATTAAAATTGGTTGGAGGGGAACGCGTCGGGCAAGGACCGGCAAGAGCGGCGGAGAGCGGCTCTCCCCCGGGAACTCCACATCCAAACAACTCAATTTCCAAAGGAGAGCTTCCCCCGCTCCCCGCCCGCCCCACCGCAACCCCGGCGCTGTCTCCCTTTTCAAACCCATTCTTATTTCCGCAGCGTTTTAGCTTCTTTCTCCCCACGTCCTCCTCTGAATAAACGGGCAGTCTGATTCACTGGCCATTTATTTAATCAGCAATGCTGTAAACGCGCTTCAATTCCGGCGGGAACTGAGAGACCTTAAACGCAGGAATTACTCACGCAACGCGATCCTACGTATCTACTGTATTCGAAACCAGTTCCCTCTGGATCTGCCTTCCAGGCTACACATGAACAGCGCAAGCCTGTGTATTCCCACGTTCACGAAGGGTTGTGGTCCTGGCTAACTTACACCTGAATCGGGAAACCTGCTGTATAAATCACTGCGTGGCTCCCACAACTCCGTGGCCTTAGGGTCGCTGTTATCACCCAGAGGCTCATATCGGATCGATCTGGTTGTATTTTAAAAGGGATGAACAGCAAGCAGTTACGCTCTCTCTCTCGCTCGCTCTCCCTCTCCCTCTCCTTCCTTCCTTCCTTCCTTCCTTCCTTCCTCATCTCTTCGGGAAAGTTCCCTATAGGGAGAGGCAGAACCGAACAGCCCCTTTCCCTCTCAGACTACGACCCGATTCTTCCATGCCAAGGGCAACCTTCGCTTCTACACACGTTGAGTGGGTTCTGTTCTAACCCGTGGCTCTTAAACTCAGGGCCCCAAATGTTCTTGGACTACAGCTCCCAGAAGCGCAAGCTGGCAGAGCTAAAGGCGAGGGCTTCTGCCACGTGCAGTTCAATAGCCTTGTTGAGGTACCTCCGTTCTAAGCAATTCGACTGGTCTGTGATCTTTTGCCTAATCTGAGTTCACTGGATAGGTACTACGACAGCATTACTTTTGTTAACGTCTAAAACAACGTATTCCCTCGCCTCCTCAATCAGAAATATACTATCTCAAAACTCCTGTTGGAATTTAACTCCCCATGTGCTGATACCCAAAGTGGTCAAACTTCACAAACGGGCAAAGATCCCTATAATGTTTTTTTTAAAGAAGGCGGGGGAGTAGGGGGGGTCCTGTAGCTGAAGGTACTATGCTCTGAAAATTTTTCTCTTGGCATCTGAAGGCCCCTATTTCATACTGAACATCGAAAGAGTAGAAATAAACATTTCCAAAAAAATCACGAAAAATGATCCAGGAAGATCCCCCCCTCCCCCGTTCTGTAGCTCAATGGCTGAGGACGCCATTCTGAACCAAATTAATCTCAAGCCGTTAGGTCTTAGATTCGTGTAAAAGCAAGCCACATAACCAACAATTCCCCGATTATAGAAGTTGCGGGTTTGCCTCTTATGCTTAGAGGCTTTTCATCCGATCCACGCACGTTTCCTCGGGAGCACTTATTCTAGTGCATTTCCGTAGATAAGCACTGGGGGCGCCCTCTCTGTTCCGGGCAAGAGTGCTCAAAGAATCGGGCAGCAAAACATACATGTAATAATAATTATGTGCCATTAAATCAATTCTGATTTATGACAACACTGTCTAGGGTTTTTTTTTAATTAAATAGAGAGCATTCAGAAGTGGTTTATCATTCCCTGTACCTGGACATAAATGCTACCAATGTAGGCTGCAGTTCAAGAACTTTCTAGTCCAACTACTTTATGCAAAGTTTCACGAGATCCTCTTGGCTGCCTACCACGCTGGCCTGCTTGACGTTCTTCCCTCTCTCAATTTCGGGGTGGGGCTGGGTGGGGAGACGAAGCGATTGCGACCAATTTCCCCCCGTGGGCAATGGGAACAGAGACCACAGATCGTAGGGTATCTCTGAGAGACAGACAATTTATTTAAGAGTGAACATACCTTTTCGACATAGCTTATTTGTCAAGTTCAAATTCTGTGTTTGTGTGCGTGCGCGCAATGGTGTCAACTAGGTGGAAGAAGTGCTTGTATGTTTTTTTTTCTCCTTTTTGTGGGTGAAATGCTAACAATGAAAGAGGGAGGGTTGGGAAACAGAAGTCCTAGGAGGAAGTCTCTTTTTCTTTCTTTCTTCTTTTTTTTGTTCGTTTTTGGTAACTAAGATTGGCATGCCACAAATTAAGAGGAAGAGAACGGAAAAGGAAAAGGGAGAAAAAAAAGAGGAATGAAAGCATATAAACAACTCCCTCCCCCTCCCCGAAGCAGAATCCGAATCTCGCGCCTTGTAAACTTGGCTCAAGGGAAACTCTGAAGGGCGCCTCTATCAACTAGTGGAACGTGCTATGGGACTTAAATAACCGTGAAGACATTGATCCCTTAAGGTCGCGGCCAAGTGAAACTCTTCCAAAACAGCACAGAAGGAAGTCTCTCGCTTTCTCTCTCTCTCTCTCCAAATCGGCAAAGTGAACTTTGGAAAATCCATGTTTCCTTTCGCTCCTGGAAAAAGTCTCCCATCTTAAAAGGTGAACCTCCGTCCCGGTGGTTTTTGGTCCCCCGGCCAGCCCAGCCCAGCCCGTTCCGTGGCTCCTCCGAGCCGAGTCTCTCGCCCCCGTCTTGCCTTTTCCCCTACCCTGTCCCAGGGAGGCGGACGGGGCTCGATCGTTAGGAGCAGAACATTTTGCTGCCTGCTTTGGGGAAGGCCAGGAAATCTTTGCCCGAGTCCTGGGGCCCCGCCAAGCCGGCCAGCTGGCCCTTGAGGACGGCGGCGGCCGCGGCGGCCCCGCTGCCCAGCGAGCGCCCCAAGGCCCCGGTCTCCAAGAGGGAGCCTTTGGTGGTAGCCCAAGACACCGTGGTGTTGCTCAAGGCCTGGTTCAAAGTACTGTGCCGGAAGAGGGGGTCGTGGAAGACGCCGTCCACCCAGTTCCTGAGGTTGGTGACGGGGGAATCCTTGGGGTGCCGCTCCAGGACGCTGACCGCCGCCGGGGCGCCCCCGACGGCGCCGGAGGAGGAAGAAGAGGAGGAGGAGGAGGAGGAGGAGGAGGAAGAGGAGCTGGGCGCTCCCTGCTGGCGCTTCAGCATGCACGACGGGTACTCGGCCTGGTTGAGCGACGTGGCCGTGTGCGCCAGCGACCAGATCCTCGGCTTGTTGCTGGCCTCCAGAAGCTGCTGCTGCTGCTGCTGGTAACAGGGCTTGGCCTCGCAGCTCCGTTGGCGGGCGCCCAGCAGCTCCGCCGCCTCGCAGTTCTCGGGGCCGGCCGCGGGCTCCTTGAGGCAGCTCTTGGCCCGCTCGAGGCTGCCGTCGAGCGCCGCCGCCGCCGCGCCGGAGCCCAGCGGCGGCTCCTTGCAGGCCTCGTTGGCGCACGCCTCGCTCTCCACGTGGCCGAAGGCTGGCGTCTTCAGCTCGCCCTCCGAGCTCTCCGATTCCAGCGGGTCGTAGTCGTCCAGGTCGCTCAGGCCAAGGTCTTTGTCCTCCTTGCCCGCCGGCTCTGAGGGCAGAAAGGGGAGGAGGAGGACACGGCTCAGTCAAAGGGCGGCGGCTCCTTGCAGGCCTCGTTGGCGCACGCCTCGCTCTCCACGTGGCCGAAGGCTGGCGTCTTCAGCTCGCCCTCCGAGCTCTCCGATTCCAGCGGGTCGTAGTCGTCCAGGTCGCTCAGGCCAAGGTCTTTGTCCTCCTTGCCCGCCGGCTCTGAGGGCAGAAAGGGGAGGAGGAGGACACGGCTCAGTCAAAGGGCGGAACCCCCACCCTCTCCGACTTGGATGGCCAGGAAGCTCTGGGCCACCAAGTAAACCTCTTTAAGGGCACCTCTTTTTTTCCCCTTTCCTCACAGAGCAGCATTTGTACGGTCAGTATCCCCAACATTTAGCCTCAGCAGGGAACCTAGCCACCCCTTTCCCAAGCCGGGTCATCTTAGGACTGGAAAGGAGAGGATGCCTGGATTCTCGTCTGGGCTCTGGTAGGAAGGAAGCTAATACTAAATCCACGTTTCAGAGGTTGCCTTCAAATTAGCCCAGATTACAGGCTGGCACAGAGAGCGAACCTTAAACCCAGGCTCGGAAAAGCGTGGGCCTCCGGATCTTGGTCGGACTGCATCTCCCATTATCCCTTACCATGGGATACCCCGCCTGGGAATGATGGGAGGGGCATCCTAGAAACAATGGGAGGGTCACACGTTCCTCAGCCTGACTTTGGACTTCGCGGGGGCGGCGAAAGAATATAGGGCAGGACTGCAAAAATGGGCAAAGGTCGCTCTCATGCCAGAGCCACCTTCGCCCTTCAAGATCGAGTTGGCAGGTGCCCTGTACATCCGCATCCATAGGAAGTACAAGGCCTGCACCTTTGCTAGGGAGCCGGGGCTACTTGTAGCGCATACTTGCTTGACGGGGCTACAATACGGGGGCCTTGAGCTGAACAATGCTGGTGTTAGCGGGAATACCCAACTCCTCCCTGCCCGTTCGCTTTTACAGTGTAACCTTTCAACGTCCTGCTCCCTCCCCGAGGTTTGTGAAGTTCCATTTTTGGACAGCTCCCCAGAATCCCTCAGCCCCTGGGCCTTTGCTGGCCAGGGGATTCGGGGAGTTGTCCAAGGAACTACTTTTCCCCAAGCTTTACTTTTAAAAAGGGAAATTCTCCTCGGAACCTAGGCGGGCAACCGGCTAAGAGAGTCGCCCGGCACTAGGCGCAGTTCTCCGTGACAGAATACACCGAAGAAACCTCAGGATACAATCGTTAACAATTAGGGCAACGGCTAAATGTTTCCCACTTCTTATCTCTGAGGTGCCCGATCTTATCCTAGTCCCTGCGGTGGAAGGGTTCAGTCAGCAGTGCTTGGAAGACGGGGCGCGGGGGGGGGGAAGGACCTGCTGCCTTGTCTCTTGCCTAATACTGTATTCTGCAAAAGGGACCATAACGTCTGGGAGATGATACCGTCGAGTTTCTCGTTCTTCAGGCTGTCTCCTCCTTGGCCCTCGGCTTCGTCGTCGTCCTCGTAGGGTCGCTTTTCGTCGGCACACTTGTTCCTCGGGGGCCAGGTCATCTTGTTCTCCTTCTTGAGCCGCCGCCGGGCGTTGGCGAACCAGGTGGAGACTTGAGTGAGGGTCATCTTGGTGATGATGGCCAGCATGATCTTCTCGCCCTTGGTCGGGTAAGGGTTCTTGCGGTGCTCCTGCAGCCAGGCCTTCAGCGTGCTCGTGGTCTCTCGCGTGGCGTTCTTCCTCCTGGTCCCTCCGTCCATGGTCCCGTATCTGCGGGGCGCAAAAAGCGGCAGTGAGAAAACGCGCCCCGATGGAAACAGACCACGGAAGGGGCTCCGAGTCTATTCAGGAGAAAAGACGCCCCCCCCCATGGAAGGATCGTTGCCCCAACCCCACTGCAGTCAAAACTGGAGCATCGGATTTTATGGGAAACCATGCCGGCTCAGTTAAATCAAAGTGGGTTAATTGCTTAGAAACGCCCTTCATCTGAAAACCAAAGCGATCAAATGTGCTTGAGGCTGCAATCCTATACACACTTACTTGGGAGTAAGCCCCACCGAATACAGGATTGTGCCGCTCATCTTGGAATGTAGGCTCAACTCGAATGTGAACCCAGCCTTTGGAATTTGGCTCACAAGTTAACACCCATATATAGTGTTACTCTTTAGCAAATGTCAATCAACTTGCGTTGAAACAGCCTGCCTCGGATCCTTAAGAAGCCTGAGGATGCTATAGACCTTTGCTTCTCAGTAAGTCTCCTGCGGCTTATCTGGCGTTTACTGTGAGACAGCGCCCTCAGAGAGCAACTCCTGTTCACATTTTGCTCAGAACTCAGCCCTACTGTGCTCAGGCGGGCTTACTGTCATGGAAGTGTCTTTGGGACTGCAGCTTGCATGCGGAGAGGAGAACCTTTTCTTTAAACACGGCAGAATTTAGCTCGTGCAAAATAGATATGTTAAGAAAACAGCCACCCTTCCCCGACGGAATGCACCTAAGTAAGCTCAGGGTGCAATCGCTAATAAAAAAAAAAAGATTATTTCTTTTCTTATTAGTATTTTTTTTCACCTACCCTTTCTTTCTAGATTATTTTTAAACGCACAAGGCTATACCTGAATATTTAATGTACATCATCCAAGGAAAGGTCATCAACACCCAACGGGCTTAAAAGGTTGGAATAGTGTAAGCGGGATGCTTGGCTTATGCTCTTAAAAGAGAACAGAAAACAATAACCATGCCAAAGAATTTAAAAAGGGGATTATTTAACGATATGTGAAGCGGGTGAGCAGTGCGTGTGTGTGAAGGTCTGTTCTCATTCAGGAGAAATAGTGTATTCGGAAATCCCCCCTAACAAAGGAAACAAAAACTACACCGAGGGAGGAATGAACAGTCTGGTTCAGAGAAGAAAATATACACGGATTTTTTGCTCGTCTGAATGGGCTATGGCAGGTCTAAAGCCCCATGCTGGACTTTTATACCGTCTTCTAAGCAATGCTTTTCCGCGGAGGAAACTCATACACCCAGTTGTTCATGAACAAAGCATGGCTCACCGTTTGCGTATGGGTCCCTGGAGGACAGCTAAATCAGGTGATGATTTGTATGCGTGAATTAGACCTGAACTTTATAAAGAATGCTTTCGGCAGCGGTTTAGACATTCGGGTGTCGGTTACGAAACTACTCAAAGATAGAGAGCACCTACGAAGCAGGTTTTCATTCTTCACCAGCTTCTGGAAGGACAGTTACAAATCACGAAGAGAAAGTTGTGATCAAACCAATAATGATCAGCGGAGGCAACCGCATCGTCAGTCGTGTCCAAATTTGACATCAAGACCGCCTAGCACTTTCTTGTGGTCACTTAAAAGATACTACAGTCGGCTCTTGGGTGTTTATATGCATGGAAGAAGAAGAAGAAGAAGAAGAAGAAGAAGAAGAAGAAGAAGAAGAAGAAGAAGAAGAAGAAGAAGAAGAAGAAGAAGAGGTGAATCAACAGGAAAAACCGTCGCTCCTTGTTGCTAGCATTCCCCTTTTTGTACTTTGTAAGAAGAAGAGGTGAATCAACAGGAAAAACCATCGCTCCTTGTTGGTAGCATTCCCCTTGGCTCTGCCAAGCCAGAGAAATTCACCAGTCGCTCTTGTGCACGTGCAGGAGGAGGCTGGAAGCATGCTTAGATCTGTAGAAACGGTGAAAACGTTTAGAGCAGGAAGCTCCGTCGGGAGACTCAGCCTGCAGCAAGGGAGCCACTGAAATCAACGGAAGTGACAGCAAGACGGATCGCCACAGTCCTGAGAGGAGGGGCAGCTCCACTTAATAAGGCGCGCACGCAGAAGAACGTCCACTAAGGACGGTGCCTTGGAGCGACTCTCTCCATCCCTTTCGAACTCATAACTGGACATAAGACCCAGTGCATTTTATTCCGGCATAAAATAGTGAGAGGGGATGGGGGTATTTATGGGCGAGACCGATCTCTGTTAATTCTGTAAACACGGATGGGTAATAAAGCCTTATTAAAATATCCTCAACAGGGGAGTTCGCGGGTCCTACAGAACCCGCAAGCTCCCCTGTTGCAGAATAGGCGGTGATGGTGCAGAAAAACAGGAAAAATCCTCCTGATTAGATGTTAAAACTTAGAGATAATGTAGTTAAAACTAAAGTTCCAAGAGGCAGACTGGAAACCCGAAGGATCTGTTTCATGTGTATGGTTGGTATTACCAGGTTGGTATTATCAGGGGATGTACAGTCAGTGGCCTCTCTGCATTTCTGTGGAAATACTAAAGGCTTGAAATTTGGGGCAGGGAAGGAGATCAAGAGCCCCATGGGGCGCACATTTTGCCCACCCGTGCTACATGGACAAAGGGGTGCCCAGTGAATCTCCTGTTGCCCTGTATCGAAGCCCAGGGCGTGGCTTTTGGTTGGGAGGAGAAATAGCTAGGGAACAGAATATCAAGTCAGCCTATATAGCTGTAGACGAGGCATGCCCTGGAGCTGAACAGTGCAACGTTGTGCATGTATATCCAGAAGGAAGCCTGAGCCTGCATAGGAAGAATCTGTAGGAGCAAAGTATGGTGAAGGGGGGAATAAAGAGGTAAAGAAGCAACTTCTGTGTTTGGTGCCAGTTCCTCCAGGAGGAATCCAGGATCAGAGGGTGTAAACAAGCTTCCTATCAGTACAAACATGTGAGCGCACACTTCTTCTCATGTAGACAAAACACAAACACAACTTTCATTGGCACTTCTGCAGATAAAAGCTGGGCATCATTGAACTGTACTTTTAACCCGCTAGGAATTTTGTGATTTAGTTCCCTACTCATGTAGACAAAACACAAACACAACTTTTCATTGGCACTTATGCAGATAAAAGCTGGGCATCATTGGACTGTACTTTTAACCCGCTGGGAATTTTGTGATTTATTTCCCTGGTAATTAGATTCCTATGACTGCATTCCTGGGCTGCTTACAGGGCAATACCAAGCATGCCTACTCCAAAGTAAGCTACACCTAAATCATATACCTAGGGAAATGGGTGGTGAATTGCAGCTTTAGAATTGCGATCCTATGTGCATTCAGTGGGGGAGCAAGGCACACTGAACTCCGTGGGACTTTAGAATTGCGATCCTATGTGCATTCAGGCACACTGAACTCCGTGGGGCTTCTACGTAGACATGTTATGGCACTCTGCTCCTCTTCCAGAGTGGACTATTTTGTTGAAACCATAGCACGTCGTAACATGACGCGACTCCTTGACTTAATAAATACTCTTTGTGTTGCAGGCATGGGGAGCAACGCCTCTAAGTTCGCAGAGATCCTTGACAGACCCTCTGTAAGGTAGGCCAACATTATTAACACCACCCCATTTGCAGATGGAGTGAACAGAAAGCCAGGTCGATGGCTTGCCGGAGAGAGGGCATTGCCAGTAAAAACAGAGGTATTATTCCTGTCAGCGGCTCTCTCAGCCTATAATTGTCAGCCATTGCACCAGGTTCCTAGTGGCGCAGTCATTTCCGCGGCTGACTGCGTGAATCCCCTCCCCTGAAAAGCATCGACTTTTTGGGGGAGGTGAGGTACGTTCAGACATGCACGCGATCCTCTGGCGGTGGCGTTCCTAAGGCAATCGGCATCAACTCCAAATGCACGTTGGAATGCATAAGGCTATCGTCGCTGAGAGGGGGACGTGATTGTTCGACGTGATACCCAGTGTTTTAGCCTTTACATATGGGGCACTGTATAACCAGCTCCCTCCCTAGAAGGACTGTAGTCTCTTCCCTCATCCGAGAAGAGGTCCGACCATGACGCAGTGGGATCGGTCTCTTTCTCCCCCTCCTCCCCATCCTTTCCACTTAATTCCACGGTGATTAGGGCGACCCTTTTAGAAATGCACAAATGCGCGCAGACCGCGGAAGTCATGTGTAAAATGCTTGCCGATTAGGGAAGGAAATATAACCACTCATCCCTCCCCCACCCCCTACGCCGCCTCTCGCTGGTTCTGCCTTGCAATTAATTGCTGTTTGTTTCTTACCTGTCATATTGATACTGACTGAGCGTGTGATCGTAGGGATAGTAAGCCGCCGCCTGAGTAATTCCCGCATGCGCAGATCCGCTCCCATCCTTCGAATCAAAGCTGTTCTGGAACATTAAAAACCAAGCAGGGCAGTGGCCAAGGGAGGCACCAATCCTTTTCCCGCTACGGAGCACATCGACGGACAGAGGACCCTTTAACTTCACCGACAGAGGCTAGCTCCTGCCTAACTCTCGACTTTAAATTAATCAAAGTAGAAGGGATTTAAAAGTACTTTAATTGCAGCTGGGAAGGAAACACGCATGCACGCATACTCAGAATTACGTGTGTCATATTATTTCCAAATAACCGTGCAACCTTATGCTGTCCAATACAGTCCCCTCCTTAACTCTCTTTCTTGAGCTTCTAGACAGCTCAGCTTAATGAAATACTACTCAGGGCAGTTTACATAATCAAGCAAAACATACAACCAAAAATAATAAAAGAATGCATAGATAATAGCACCGATACTGTGCTATTACAACTCCCCTAAACAGCAGACTAAAGAAGAGTTATTTTATACTTTTTCTTGAGGGGTCAAAGTAGGCACAAGAAGGAAGTATGGCACCTCAGCGGTTGGAATGACCTTACCAACGGTGGTGGGAAAGCTAAAAGGAAGTGGGCTCCGACTGTACTCCCTTCTTAAAGGGGGCACAACCCCAAACATACTACTTTGGGAAGTCTAGCTTCCATGCAAAACTTGTTCCAAGAGGCGCTCCAGGAAAGGAGCAGGAGGGTTGAACTTACATTCCAACGCTGGCCAAGTTCAGGCATCGGACTTCTAATGGTGGTACAGCATCTCCAGGACCAAATAGGTGTAGCTCATCTGACCCTCCTTTCAGATGATGTAACCCACCAAACCCCCATTTCTTCTCAGTTTAGCCCCAAACTTCACTTAGAAGTTCGTGCAGGGCGACATATGGAAATGAATTTTGGCAGGTGCCAAGTATTATTGTGAGTTATTCCTGTTGTGATGCAAAGGATGTGTGCCCAGCTGCCTGCGTTTTCTACTATCTTTGGGGCATGGTTACTCCCCCCACGCCAGCCTGTGCCTCAAAAACATCAACCATAACAGGGTTGAGCAATGGAAGGACCTCCAGATGTTGCTTCATTACAACTCCTATCATCCTGCACCATCAGCTATGAGGGCTTGAGTTGATGGGAGGTGGAGTCTTACAATCTGTGGAGGGCTGCAGGTTGTCCACATGGCCATCCTTGCACTACTACTACAGCGGGTAAATATTGTTAGTTCCAACTAGAGATCCGGCTCATTGTACCAACCGCCTGAGTTGATGGGAGGTGGAGTCTTACAATCAGCGGGTAAATATCAGTGGCCAGTATCTTATTGTTATTTCCAACTAGAGATCCGGCTCATTGAACCAACCGCTCAATGTTTAAATTAACTGTGATGTAAATCCCGTTAAATCACTGGATCTATTCTAGTTGGGAGTAGCAATAAGATACTAGCCAGTATGTGGCATCACGTGAGTACATCCCCCCTCCCATCCACGTTGTCGGAATGATTATGTTAGCCGGTTTTCTACCCACCTCCCCGCATGCCTCTATTCAGATCGTGTTCATCATGCCTGTAAGCTACCCAGACCCCTTAAGATTAAAAAGTAAATAAGTTAACCGGGCACAAAAAACAATTTTAACCATAAGGAACACAGGGATTCTGAGAAAGTATACTTGTCACATCTGAAGAAGTCCACGAAATCTCGTGCGAGATAAAAGGCCGTCTTTAATATGCTTAGTTGTTTTTGCTGCAGCGGGTTGACAGGACTTTCCCTTGGCAAATTCGGAATACTTAAGGCCCCACTGAGTTCAATGGACCTTAATGCCTTCTGCCTACGTTTAGGGTCACATAAACTGACTAAGAAAAGAGCCGGCACTGCTGAAGAAGAAAGGGAAGCCGGGCCCTCAGCTTCAAGAAAGGGCAGCGAATTAGCAGTTCTTTCATTTACTGCAATTGTCGTCTACTGGGAAGGGAGTTGCTTCCGGGGTTTAGACTTCATGTGCCAGACGGAGGATTGACTGGCTCTGGATACCTCGCAGCTTTGAAATGGGTGGGTGAAGGCACATAGGTATGCCTCTTCATTTCAGGCAGCAAAATATCTTGACCGGCACGGTTTGGTACTTCGGATGCAGGCCAGTTTAAAACTGGCTGCCTGGGGCTGCCAGCTTGCTTGCTTGGAAGCAGTTGACCCCCAACCCTCGGCCACCTCTATCAATAGTGGAAGGGGAGGTCTTCTCCTCCTCTCCGCGCTGCCTGCCCAAGACTTACCAAGGAGTAGAAGGCCGACGCCTCGGTCCCGTAGGTGACGTAGTTCCCGTAGCCCTGGGTGTTGGTGTAGGGGTTCCCGTAGACGCCGAGGGCGGCGGCCGAGTTGAGCTCGTGCCTAGCCGTGGCCAGCAGCCTGCTCTCGTACACCGGGCAGTAGACGGGGGTTTGAGCCGAGGCAGCCGCGCCCGAGTCCGTGAGCGTCCTGCCGCTGGTCTCGCAACACGTGGTCAAGGAGTTGGTGGTCATCAGGAACTAGGAGGAGAAGGGACACCGGGTGAGGGACCCCCAGGGGACAATGGAGAAGGCCACCGACATAGGCTGATGCCACTATGGAACTGCCACCAAACCCTCTCTGCCCTTCCGGGTCAAGCGCCTGTCCTTGATTTTAATGGGAATGTACATCCATTCTCCACCTTCATTAATCCGGAGCAACTACCACCCAACCCCTTTGCCTGCTCAAGATCGAGGTGTTCCGGGCTAGCTCGACGTCTCTTGTCATCTACCAGGGAAGGGTGAAAATGGTGAATGGTACTACGCGCCCGCAGCTGTAGAAGTGTGGTAGGATGGTCCTTTGGAACGACCCAATCAAAAAGAAGGGCGGACTAGACTCTCCTGCCCACACTACGAGCCTTTGCTGGTCTACTCAGAAGTAAGCCTTACTATCCGGTAAGGACGTATGGGGCTGCAGCCATAGGGAACCAAAGGAAAGCCAATGTTGACCGAACCGGCTTAGCTGCAGCAGGAGACGTCCGTGAACTTTTTTCAGAGTAAGTGAACTGAAGGAAGTACCTTATATGTTATGCTAAATCCAGTTGCTTAACTGCTTTGTGGATCGGCCTATAATTTAAAGAACAGAGCGAAAGGGGAAAACCTAGCTCTAGTTCACACACTTTGTGGATCGGCCTATAATTTAAAGAACAAACGGGAAAACCTAGCTCTAGTTCACACAGGTCAGGTAAAGAAAAACAGAAAGAGACAGACATAAAGAAACATTTCTTATGTTTCAACGTTTAATGAATTCTTTCCCCTGGAGGACAGTTTATACAGTGATATTGTATATGTGTTTTCATTCCTAGAACGCGTCTATTCAGATGTAAAAATCCGGTGTTCGTGGCGTTTACCTCTCATCTCCATTCTAAGAGCCGCCTCCATGCTACTCCCTCGGCCATGCAAAATTTAGCTGAACGATCCAGAAAGCAGTTGTCGCAAACCCTGAGTCAGGGTAATGCCCCTCACGTTCAAGTTCCACCCCACCCCGGAGTTGTTGATCCGGGGTGAAATGGGGCAAGCGTATTTGCTTTGCCTTAAGCTCCCGCTACCCCCCACTCCACTCTAGATCACTACGGGGATCAGTGTAAAAGCTATTTGAAAACAAGACAAAAATGAATTCAGGGCTGACTCGGCTCCAAGGCGCTTCCAGCCTCTTTTGGTGTTTTGCAGCTCAACAGCGTAAGGCTCAAATCCTGTTAGCCATGTGTGGGGATGGCAGTGGATAGCCCCAGAACCTATTTCGGAGCAGACACGTGTAAGATCACACTGGAACATTTCTACCTGGCCGGATCTTCTAACCTTTCGAAGGGAGACCTTTAAAAGGCAAGGACCACGCTCTGCATACCGATCCCTCACAATGCCTTTCTCCCATGGATTTCAAGTGACCTTTAATCGGTATTTATAATGCACTCCTAAGTACCTATACTATAGTTACCGAAAAGTATGAATATGTTGCTTAGCCTAGCAGTGAGTGTCCTTCGCACTCCGGCTTTTAAGGTACCAGCGCAACCCTCGCCCCTCTCTTTAGTGGTCACTTTTAATTCCTGTTTACCTGGAAATCAGTGCGTTTTGATTTCATTGGGACCGACTTCCATGTTATGATTGCAGCCTGGGACGGAAATCTCTGCTCTCCCTGCCTCCAAATACATCTGCCTCCTACAGATTCGCCGGAGGACGAGAGACGAGGAGGGGAGAAGACAAGTCCAAATACAGTAACGGGGGGAAAGGGAAGAGAAAGGAAAGTGCAGGGCGCGGATTCGATCTCCCTTCGGGCGCGGATTTTCTTACCTGGGGCGCAGATGAGTAGGGGTATCCGAACTGGGGGTAGGACATGGCCACGGGGAGCTCCCAGGCTCCAGGAACAACCAGGAGAGGCGTCGGATCCGTGAGTTCCGGCGGCCGCTTTGCTCTGTTGTATTGTCCCGATGGATGGGGTCGCTGGAGTCTCCTAGGGGCTTAAAGGACCAAGCACAAAGCCACCTTGAAGTCATCTGTCTGCCAGGGAGAACTTTGATTTTAACGTTGGGGAGGTGAATCAACTTTGTCACCCACCCCACCCCACGCCGTGTACAAACAAGCCGTGATCGTAAGATAAACTATGTGTGTGTGTGTGTGTGTGGGGAGTCTGTGGAACGTGGCTAAGTCTTGCTACTGGAAAGCCAGGGCTGTAGCCAATTTTCGTGGAGAAGGTATGCTATATCTTTTGCCCACACACAGTCAAAGATAATGCAGTGGGGAGGGAGCCTGGAGGGAATCCACCCGTGGCTCGAACGCTCACGTCGACTCGAAGAATATGTGACGTCAGGAAAACCCCTAGGGAAACTGTGGCGCGCAGGTGTGCGGATGCACGTGGGGAGATGTGTGTACGCGTGTGTAGACAGAAATACCTTTGGGGTAGGTTGCAGTCTCGATCGCCAAACTGCGCCTATTATAGATCAAAGTTCGTTTGATCTTCTACACACGCGCGCGCACAGTAGTTGCGGATCGCTATTTCAAGGTATCCTGTTGCGCCGGTGAAAATGAAAGTGGCCCTGTTCAGATGACCATAACAACGCGCGCGCGCACACACACACGTTCAAGCAAAGCTCCTGCCTCTCCATCAAGGAGCTTCATAACCACATCTCGGAGCAAGTCGTCTGGAAATGAGAAATCAGGGTGACACCAGACCCGTAACTCACTCCCACACAGTTACTCACCGGCTCTCACATACGGAATCACTGAAGGGTGGTCAGCGCTTTTAATTAGAAATTAATTAATGAGCAGCTGCCTGCTGGTTTTCTACCCGCCCGGTAGTCATCAGTCCCACTTACAAATGAGGCCAGCCAGGAGGACACGCGCCGACAAAGCTTTTACATCAACAGTTGCAATGAGCTCCGACGCTGACAGGTGGCACGTGGGTAAAGGTTGTTTTCCCAGGTGGTCTTTCCACCTCCAGATCTGTGATCCCATTGAGGCAGCCCCGCTTTGCCATCACCCCAAGGATAAAAACGCAGGCATTTGCCAGGAACTGAGGCCCGTCGGCTTAGACATCCTGAGGGGAAGGTGGTCTACATTTAAACTTCCGATGTGGGGAGCAGAGAGCTCCCCCTCCCACATCTCTTGGGAAAGAAAGCAAAGGCGGTCGACAAACTCGTCCGCAAATCAAACGACCATATTGCAAATAAAGCAACATGGATTTTCAAACCCCAAGGTGACAGCTTTTCTCTCTACTCCCCAGTTGGACCATTTGAGAAACAAAAAAGGGCGTCTGGGTGCTAAATCCCAGAGCAGGATTGGGTACCCAGTTCTGTTTAGGGATGCTGTAGAAGGCAGTTGTCAAAGCACTTCATGACCATACCTCACGTCAACAACCTGTATGTTCTCTCCTCCCCCCCACCCTGCCGCCCCCAAAGTAGATCGGTATAGTTTCACACCATCTCGAAGACAAAGAGCTGAGGTTGAGAGAAGGCTATTAGGGCAAGCGCTTCCTGGTTCATCCTTCTTCTCTGTTATGCTAAAAAAGGCCTCTCTGAAGTTCCCTTAATGGCTTTGAGTTTTTGTCGCCTGGGGTACCTACAGGCATCGAGGGTCTACTGCAGGGCATTTTAAAGGCAGAATGCCTGCTGAAGTACTTGGTGTCACTGGGAAGTTTTCACATTCTTACACCAAAACTCTGGGCCCATGCCAACAAATTTCTAGTGATGATTTGCTGGAACACGTGGGAAGACACCTAACACTTATGGTTCACTCAAGCCCCTTCTCCTTCCTCCAGTCTCTCTCTCTCTCTTCATCACTCTCTGATACTCAATTGTCTCCCAAACATCTCAGAACTAAACAGGAGATCCACTCTCAGACCCTTCATTCGTAGTCTTTGATCTAGATCTGACATAGGTGTCATCTCTGTTTTAAGCCTTCCTGGGAATTTTACTGAAGAGCACCACAAAAGATTTAAAAAATAAATATGTGTTTGCTTCCACTAAGTACAGATTCAAGGTCTTGTTACTCTCAAAGCTCAGGAGGGTTTGGTTTGGTTTTGGTTTTAAAAAATAAATATGTGTTTGCTTCCACCAAGTCCAGATTCAAGGTCTTGTTTCTCTCAAAGTTCAGGAGGGCTTGGTTTGGTTTTGGTTTTGTCTTGGTTTTTTATAGCTCAGTTCCCCCTCCCCCCCAATGACCAGTCAATCAGTGCCTCAGAATGCCCACTGGTTAGCCAAACAAACAAACAAATTCCAGAGTCCGAATCCCACAGGAGTCAAATCTAGAGGAGGCCCATTGAATTAGCACAACATAGGTAAACGTTGGCTCACCATTTAACGATTCATTCTATAGGTCTATTCTAGATGGGGCTAATCCTAAAATTTAAACTCCGGAACAGTCCTGTTATGTCACAAAAGGAAGCTGAAAACTCTATGCCCTATTTTCAAACCACTTTGATTTCTCACTAGAAGACTCAATTTGAGTGCAGGCAGGAGGCAGAACTGAGTCTAGCTCAGTCCCCACCCCCTTTTGAAAAAGCAAAAATAGCTAAGAGTGCTGCTTATATACCGCCCCATAGTGCTTCAAGCAGTCTCCGCGCGGTTTACAATTATGCAGGCCGCACATTGCCCCTTCCCCAGCAAACTGGGTACTCATTTTACCGACCTCGGAAGGATAGAAGGCTGAGTCAACCTTGAGCCGGCTACCTGGGATTGAACCTGGGGTAGTGAGTACTGTTTTGGCTGCAGTACAGCCATTTAACCACTGCGCCACAGGACTCATTTTGAATCTTTGGTTTCATGTCCAAGCTACGCATTCACAGCACAATTCCCATGTGACACTTCCTATTAGTTCGTTTTGGACATCCATTGTTCCCCACCTAAGAATCTAAAATAGCCATGTTTGTTCAGGGAAACAAAAACTCCAGACTCAGATTTGGGGAAAATCTTTATGGGGACCCACCAAAATGCCACCAAACAGTGAGCAAGCACTCCAGTTATCAGTCTGGACAAGACCCAAAGCGAGGGAGGGGGGAAGAAAACCCCCCACTCACCCCCAAGTACCAAATTGGATTCGTTGTTGCAGTGTTTCTGTGAGTGGGAGGAGAGAGAATGGCTAAAACCTATTATGGGATGGCTAATCTATGTTGCCTGCATTATCTATTCTCTTACCAGACTGGACCATAAGGCATACAAGACACCCCCCACACACACACCCATAAATGATTTTCTTTGAAATTCTGAAAACTCCAGCACTGAGAAGTGTTCCAAAGCCTCTTATTAGGGCTTTTCAGTTTGACAAGTAGGCGCTTCCAACTCTCCATTCAGGGCAATGCTTTGACTCTTTTTATTCATCCTGCTGGTTATTAGCCCAAGTCACTGTTATGACTACCAGTCAGGAGCAATATTTAATTAACATTCCATATTTCATTGACATTAACAGCTATATGTCTATTATTTCTTAAATGGAGCTGGATCTCCCCCACACCTGCACTTTTTTCGGGCACAGTTGGAGACATCGTCTCAAGTCCAGCACTGTCAGGATGGGATGCTAAGCACATTGGTCCTTGGATCCGTAGAGAGTGTACATGCTTAGGATTTCAGCCGGGGTTGGAAGGCAGCACACTCCAGTATATTTCCGCAATGAAATGACATCCTCCAGGATAAAAGTGTCATTCTGTAAATTTGGATTGACAGTGAGCTGACCCACAAAGATTTGGGATAATGAAATTTGGTTGTTTTTTTTTTTAAAGGGGGGCATCAGATTTCTGATAAACATGATTCTAAAAGGCAAATTTGTGCAGGATCTTGGACTTGCTGTGGCTTGGCTGGGTTGATATAGGGGTGTACAGAAGATTATCTGCCCCTAAACCAGGCAGGAGGCAAACTCAAAATTAACTATATTTAACTGGAAGTAAATCCCACTAATTCTTACGGAATTTACTTCCAGCATGTTCATTATAGTGAAAATTACCTTTTCTTTGGTTGCAACTGTAAACACGTGCTATCAAACTCAGCACAGTTTATTTCCCTAGCAGACCATGCTATTCACGATTTTTTTAAAAAAACTCCCTATTATATTCATCTTCTGCCTTTCTCTCAGTAAAGGAACCCAAGGAATCATGAATGAAAAACAAACCTAGGTAGAAACCCAGTAAGTTGTAACATCTACACTTCATTAACTTATCGTTAGTGCAAAACATTTTCCAAGCGATGCAGGGTTCCTATGGCCATTAGTAAGCCTCACTGCATTCACTGGATTTCCCCCCTGCATTTAAGGAAGGAGACCGGTGTATTGTAGACTTGGGTTCAAATTCTTGCTGGGCCATGGAAATACACTGGTAGATGGTAACAGTAAAACCACTCCTTAGCCATCTCATACACCCTAAAAGTCCTATTAAGATTGCTGTAAATTAGATGACACTTTAATGCACATAACATATCTCCCACATGGTTTAAGGAACAGGAAGTTGAAAATTCTGCAGAAATATTAGTACAACCCGTAGCTTCACCACTTTCTCGCTCCCCCTTCACCTAGTCATCTTTGTCCCCTTTTAACCAGGCTTTCCCTGCACAGGTCTAGCGCCTGGAATTTCTTGCCAAGATATTTATGTAACCATGGATGAGTATGGGATCGGGAGAGCCCCGTCTCGCAGAGCTGGAGTCTCCCGGTTAACGAAACTTGCAGGAGGCGAGTGAGTGGGTCTCTCTGTAGCGTCTGCGCAAGCGGCGCGTTTGTGTCTGGGCGTGTGTTTATGGAAGGGAGGGGAGAGGAGGGGAGGGCGGCTGGGGCCGAGGGAGAGGAGGAAAGGAGTGGAGACTTGCTCAGAGAGCTGCCTGAGTTCAGACATGTGAATAGCCCCGGGGGTCACACTCTAATTAATGATGATGTTCTCTCCTTCTCCCCAGCTGGAAGACTTGGTGCCTCCCAGGGACGAATCTGCCCACTCTGACAGCTCGATTGAGGGTGATGGATGACTATCTGGAGACCGCAGTACACCTAATATAATCATATCTGCGGCGTAATTGCTATAATTTACCGAGGCAAAGCCTGAGTTCCAGAAGGAGCGAGGGGAAGGCAGCGGGAGCAGCAGCGGAGCGGCGCTTTACAAAGAGGAGGGAGTCCCGATCCTGGACGCGCTTAGTAAGGAAAAAGAAAAAGCTTGAATGCTTCAACTCAGCCGAGCCTGCCTTGCCCTGGTCCTGAGCACACGATGAGAAGAAATGCCACTAAAACTAATGGGAGTTTTCCAAGCAGTCCGATTCAATGCACTACTTATTTTGCTCCCCTCCCCTTTTCTTTCGCCAACATGGCGCCAAACAGTAGCTGAGGGTGGCATTCAGACAAGGGGGAGACCGGGCGTGTGTTAATATACCGTCTCCCAGAGCATCCTTTCTGCTATCTATCTTCTATCCTGCTGCTTTTTGGTGAAAATAAATAGTTCCAATTACTACCAGAGAACCAAAGTAGTACTAACCAAAACAACAGATTTCTGGCACAATACGTAGGATCGCTCTTACCAGTGAGCGTGATGCTTGTCTGAGAGTAGTTCCCGTTGATCTCTGTGAGGTTTACTCCTCAGCAGCATCTCAGGCCAAGGGTTATTTATCTGGACTATGAAACTTAGGTGACTTTGATAAGGGTTCATAAAGCCATAGTATTACACCCTGCATTTATACATCTTGTATTTGTGATGGGCATGTGAACGCGGAGGAGGGAGAAGTGTGGCGAAATTCAGGGTATTAAACATTTTCAGGTCTTACGAACGAGTTTTCAAACTTCTTCTGAGCTCAGAAAAGAAAAAGCCCTTCCGATTTCCAGAGGCAGGCAGATGTTTTGGAACAAGTCGATCCACAAGCTGATTAAGCCCGAATGGGTTAGGTTGAAGCCGATTGGCACGTGCCCTATCTCAGCAGGATGAAAAATGTATTTAATTTGGTGGAGGTGGTGGTGGGGAGGATCTTGCCTATAGGGCGCTCATTGCACCGGGACTTCGTATCAGCTTCAGACTATTCTGAGTCGGAGGTCATTAAAGGGGCTTAATTGGTTCACGACTTAACTAAGCAAAGCGGCTTCAGCGGAGTCACTCCATCTCACCTAGCAGGTCAGGGAGCGCGAAAGACTGGATTCTCAATCAGAAAGGCCTGGAAAAGATTCCTATGGTTCCGCTTACCGAGACTTCCCGCATTAACTTCTGACTAGTAAGAATGTGATCCTAAACAAGTTCTTTCTAGTCCCCCTTCTTGCCTACGGCTCGTCATCAAGGAAGGAACCAGCCGAGGGATCTTTTCCAGAAACCTTCCTCCTGCCTTCAATAGGATGAAGCCACCTGCCATTTGTAGATCCTTTACAGTAACTCTGGGTTCCCGCTTGAAGCTGTATTTTAGCATCATGAAGGAAGGGAAGGGGCTGCTCTCGCCAAGCTTACTTTCAAGGAGGTCACGCCCGTCCTTGACTTAAAACGGAAGGTGCTTCTCAACAAACGGGCCTTCCCTTCGGCCACCGGTCCTAAACATTCCCTCCCTGGGAAGGGAGTCCCGGTGGGAGAACACAAGCGCTACCCCTACCCCTGATGCTCATCCGGGAGAGAAGCTGGCCGCGCTGCTCTCGCCTCCCGACTAACGTATCGGTCGCCGTCGCTGCCGCTGGACTCGGGCTTGTTTACTCCCAATACGCAGGCGCGGCACTCACCACCTGGGGCGCGGCGCGGGGCGGGGAGGGCGAGGGGGGGGCGCAGCAGCTTCTCAGCAGTGACTCACCTTGGTCGCCGCGAAGGGCCGAAGGAGGCAGCAGAAGAGGGACAGAGGGTCGCCTGTCAACCCCCAGCTTAGTATATCCACCTCTTCCCCGCCTCCTCTAAGCAAGACCAGGCCAACAGTCCCACCGGTAGAGTGTCAATGGCCGATCGCGTCCTGCCTCTTTTTTCCGTCTCCGGGCTTAGCCAGGCCACTCTGCCCGCCTACCTGCCGACCCTTCTGAAATCATTCAGGGGGCTGGGGAGAAATCAACGGGACTGTTTGCCCCACTTTCTTCCGAGACCACGAGATACACCTACTCCCGCACTCCTCCCCTCCCCTTTATTGTCTGAAGGATGAGACGGGCTCCATCTCTTCCATTAATTGGAAGGCACGTCCCCAGGCAGTGTGTTGAATTGCTTCCCGAAGCCCCCTTGATTGGAAGATAGAAATCGCCCATCTATCCTCGTCCCGACCCACGAGCCTCGGTCCGGAAGGACCGCGCTTAAGAGCAGAGTGTGCTCGGAACAGGTATCAATATGCTGCGGTTTTGTTAGGGGCAGAGTCCGGGGCTGCCCCTACCCACCGACTCGGAAGTTAAACGGGAAGCGATAGGCACGATTTCACAAGAACACTAGAAACTGGAGTCGGACCGTTGATCTATTTAGACCAGTACTTGTTCACACTGACAGTGGGTGGTGAGCGGCGGACCAGGGGTTTGGGCGGGAGTTTCCCCAGCCCTACCTGGAGATATCGGAGGCCGAAATTGGCACTTTCTGCGTGCGTCACACACACACAATTTCTCCCCATCGGTCTTTTCCTCCGGCCACCCTTTTAACTTCTCCTTCTTCAGGAGACTCCCACTCCTCTCCTACCCCAAGGAAATAAACCTATTTGTTTGTTTGAAGAGTTCAAAGACCTTCGATACACACAGCCCTACTTAGTTTCATTTTCAGTTTCATGACCACCCTCCCCAAATTTTAGGGACGCTAGGGAAAAAAAATAGACAACATCAAACCGTGTCCTGCATGCACTCCCTGCCGGGAGGAGAAAACCTGGTGCGTGCGCGGGGGGGGGCGGCGGCTAGAGGATGCGCGCTATCTTAATGCGACCTTTTCAAAACAACAACTTCGTCTGGTCAAGGCAGCCAACATCTAAGCCCCGGAAAGACGAGCAACGACAAACACCTTAAACAAACCCGGCTGGGATTTTTTTTCCTCTGGGAAGGAGGCCACCGTCAGGACCAGTCTGCAGTGAGGATCGATCCATCGACCCACCGACAATTTCCCAGGGTCGAAACGCGCGGGCGCTGTGCACAACGATGCGGGTGCAGCGGCCCAAAACAAAAGGAAAAAAAAAAGCAGGAGCGCCGACACCACCCGTACAGGTTACACCGCAGCTCTAGATGGACCTCGGCAGAAAGGTGAGCGGGACCCGTCTGTAGCAATTAGAGGAAACCAGGTGGTTTTGTTCTCCGTACACCCACCACGGCTGGCAACTGGCAACCATCCTGGCACCAGCCCATCAGTTACATCGGCTTAATTACCCACGAACAGCAGCCAGACTCTCGGTTCCGGTTTTGCAGGCAGTCATCGAGATCCGGGCTGGCCCCTGACGCCCCTGCCAGGTTCCAGTAATTAATGGGTGTAAAAATCTGCCCCTTCCTCAATTCGCGCATCTAACACGAGGAGCCGGAGAGAATTGCAATCTTGCGCATATTTATAGGGCGGTGATTCCCGCCCCCCCCAAGAAAATCGACGGGATTTCCTCCCGAGTAAACATAGGTGATTGGATCTAGCCGGGAGGGTACTCAATGAACCGGCGAGCCTCATCTCAACCTTTCTCAAGTATTGGTATCTCGGAGCTGTCCTTTTACTTCTCCAAGGTTCCCCCCCCCCCGCCTGGCTTCCAAAGGGAGGCGAAGCTCCCTGGGCTGCAAATTGCGGAAACCTGCCTGCTGTCGCGGACCACACCTGGCATGGCCTGACTCTGGTCTTGAAATAGCCAAAATCCTTCTAAACACTCTAAGAACCACTCTTGTACAAACCGAATTTAATGTAAAGGTGTCCCCAGTCGGGTTGACTCCAGCCGGGCACCTCGGGGCTGGTTTCCCGGCTCGATCTCCGAAACACCTTTTGGCGCAGAAGAAGTTTTGAACCGGTTTCTTTCTTACCCAGTGCATGACAAGAAAAAGACCTTTCGCCTGCCTTTTCTTTTGTTAATAATAACAACTAAAAACATACAAATGGTGGGATTTATTTCTCAGCATCTTTGGACTCCAGGATTAAGGAAATTGACCCCAATCCCTTAAATCTGGCTCCCCCGCCAGTCTTTATATCTGTGAAAAGGAAACGGTGGTGACGCTGGCGGTTACATTTGCACAGGGCTTACCCCGAATCCATTTTTGATGTCGAAATCTACGGCACGCTCAAACGGTGAAATAAATCTCTGCAGAGTGCCAGGCAGCAAAAATTTCTAGGCAGGCGTTATTCCCGGCCCCTCTCAGTGGATGGGTGTATGTGTGTGTGGGGGGGGGCGGGAGAGAGAAAGACGCAGAGATTCTAGAGCGACTCAGGACAAGAAGAAGCCCCATTGAACTGAATGGGACGATTTTGCAACAAAAGTCCGAATGGACTTTTGCTGGGATGGACAGCCCCCCCCCCCGAGCCAAACTCCCTCTTTTACAGGGTCACAACTTTCCCCATGGCCCCTCCACCGCCCCGCTGCTTTACTCCAAGCTGGGCTTTCTGCTCCTGCTCACCAAACTTTCTTCCCCGCAGCCTCCGCCAAAGACGATCGCGGACCCTCGGCCGCCCTCCTCCACCGGCCCGGAAAGCCTTCCGCACCAAGCCCCGAAAGTTCTCCTGCATCCCGTTTCTATCCTTCCCCTCCCCTCCCCCCTCACAACAAGTACTCCGGACTTCTACTGATCCCCCCCCCTCGGAGCCCGGGATGGCCGGTGCCAAGGCGGGATGGGACTGATCCCCGGGAGTTTTTGCCTCACCTCCAGCCGGCGGCGCGTTAGAAAAGGCAGGCGACTATTGTGGGGGATGGCGGCGGGCGGAGGGAGGGAGAGGCAGCCGCACGGAAGTCCCCAGCGAGCGCCAGAGAGGGGTCTCTCTCTCTCTCTTGTTCTCTTTTCTTTCTCTCTCTCTCTCTCTCTCTCTCTCTCTCTTCCCCGCTCGCCCTCTCCTCCTCTCCTGCTCTTCCTCCCCCTTACCTGCGATCACGCCGGGCTGCGCCTAGGCTCTCCCGGCGAGGGCTTGTCCATGGCAAGGGGCGGCCGCCTCTTTTCGCCTCGATGGCAGCGGCTCGCTTTGGAGAGCGCGGCAGCGGCGGCGAGAGCAGCGGCAGCAGCAGCAGCGGCGGCGGCAGCGGCAGCGATCGCAGCGCGCTAATGGAGACATCGCTCGGTGTATA